TGTATATTTAAAAGTGAAGACTAAAAAGCTCAGAAGATGTGAGTGAAGCTCGTCGGCTGTGGCCTTGTCTGTAGGAAGATCTAGCTGGGCCAGTCCCTGGGCCACTGCCCCCTCAGATGTCCTCACATCTTTAGGTCCTTTTTCTGGGCTAAGCAGATTCCCCAGGGAAGACTCTTCTAATTTCCTGCCTGGAGGATAAAGGCCTGCGCCCCTGTGAGTCGGGGGAGGGGCTGAGGAGTCCCAGCATTGGCATCTGGAGTGCATCAGATCACTGATCCTCCCTACTGAGTGGCAGCCTCACACTCCACCGTGCCCGGAGTCCCCGTTCTAGAGATGTTCTGTTTTATCCCCTCTAGAGAATAAAGCTCTGGGCTTCTGCTGTGGTGGGGGTGGGGGGAATGACAGTGTCCTAGAGATATGGGTAGGAGCTGGGTTTTAGAGATCCAAGTGGTACTTGAAAAGCTTTCAACCCACATTCATTATTCTAATCACCCATTCTATCCCCAAAGACCCACTGTTCCAGACACCCCTGGTGCCGCGATTCCTGAGCACCGTTAGTGTCTCATGGTGTAAGTTACGTTGGTTCTCGGCATATCCTACTTCTGGCTTGGGAGTCAGCTTTCGGAGACTTGCCAAGTCAGTTCCCAGTCATTCACATGCTTTACAGCTCACAAAATTGTGTTGCTGTTGTCCTTTTTCTTGTTTTTCCTGCCATTGTGGGTTGATGTCTTTTAAGAAGAAAAGTCCATTTATTGTAGTTTTAGTGGATTTTGGATAGAGACAAAATCAGATGTGTGTTCAACCTATCATCTTTACTTCCAGCCTTGCTGGTCATTATATTTTAGGCATGACTCTTAGAAATGCCGCACAACAGGATTTCATGTTTAGCCACCTGAGATTCTCTATATTTTAACAGTTGAGTTTATTCCATTTACATCTCTTATGACCGCAGATATATATGCAACAATTGCTGGGACCTTCATTTTCTGTTTTCTACCTAGTATGCCTTTCCTTTACTTGATTCTTTCTCTTTTAGTCCCTTCTGTAGGTTTTTTCCTGTTTAGTTTCCTTTTCATCCTTTTACTGGTTTGGAAGTTACACATTCTATTTCTATTCTTTTTGTGGTTACTCTTACTTTTCTAACATGCACACTTGACATCAAATTTAAATGTAATACCTTTATCCTCCTTTCAAACAATACAAGAGCCTGAAATACTGACTCCCTCTCCAATGTTACATGTATTATAGTCTAGTATTTTAGTTTCACTTTGCTTATAACCCTCCAAAATCCATTATTATATTTCTATTTTTTAATTCAATGCTTATTTAAGTTTCTTTCCACTGAAGGGTAGCAGAATCTGCCACCCTAAAATATGCCATTGTGGCATAAGGACTATTTTGAGCTGAAGGCAAATACCAAAAAAGCCCTCTGCTCTCCCTCTCTATGCCTAAAAGTAGGACACACAGTTGTAAAGGTGTCTCTCCTCTCCCTTCTCTACCAGGAAGGGCAGAGGCCAATCACCAGAGACAAGTCTAGACCCCAATCAGCTGGCACCAGAGGAATCTACATAACAAACTTCACTAACTAGCCCATATCTTTCATTAGTTCCCCAAATATTTACCTTCTCACAATCTGCCACCCGAGAAACTCAAAGTCCTTCTCCTTTGTCTTGTCCCTTCTCTAAAAATCATTGTTCTTTGTTAAGATGCTATGTAAGTCCACATTCTAATCGCCCTTCCAGCTGCTCATCTCGTGTCAGTCCATGCGTATGTGTACACACAGTAATAAAATGTGTACACATTTCTCTTGTTAACCTGCCTTTTGCCAATCTAATTTGCAGGCCCCCAGACAATGGTTAGAGAGAGAAGGTATTTTTTTTCCTCCTCTACAACACATTCGCTTTTTATTCTACCTTGCTACTTGCACTTCCCACCTTTCTTCTGGACATAATCTATCTCACACTAGCCTTAACTAGTTCTTTCAGTGAGAATATGCAAGTAGTAATTTATCTAAATTTTTGCCTGAAAATATCTTCATTCTTTTTATTCTTGAATAATAATTTAGGTGATCATAGGATTCTGGGTTTCTTGTATTTTCCATCAATACTTGAAGATATTTCACCATTATCTACTGGCATTTACTGTGGCTGATGAATAGTTTGTTATCAGTTTAATTGCTCTTTTGATAGGTAATTATCATTTTTCCTCTGGGAGATTTTAATTTCTCTCTTTTTTGTTAATAATCTGTAGTTTTACTACAATATGTCTAGGGATGGATCTCTTATTGCTGATCTCAGTCAAAACTCTTTGTGTTCCTTAAATCTAAAGTCTCCTGTTTTACTTCAAATCTGGAAAAGAAAAACTTAACCACAAACTTCCCCTTCTCCCTATTTTCTTCTTCAGGAAGTCCTACTAGACAGAATCCTGTCCCTCTGCATTCTAACACCATGTCTCTCAGCTTGGCGATGCCCATGTCCTTATCTCCACACTTTATTCTGTTCCTTCTGGGTGGCGGTTCCAGATCTGTTTTCAAGTTCACCAATTCTTTTTTTTTTTTACTTGACAAATAATAATTGTACATATTCACGGGGTACATGTGATGTTTTGATACATATAATGTATAGTGATCAGATCAGGGTAATTAGTATATCCAGCATCTCAACTATTTATTATTTGTGTTCAATATTCTCCTCCTAGCTACTTGAAACTATATATTAACTATAGTTATCCTATTGTGGTATAGAACACTACAACTTCCTCCTCCTATCGAGCTGTAATCTTGTATCCTTTAACCAATCTCCCCCGTCCTCTCCTTCTGCCTCCCCCTCCCGGCCTCTGTTCTACTCTGAGATCAACTGTTTTTTTAGCTTTTACATATGAGTGAGAACATGTAGTGTTTTACCTTCTGTTCCTCACTGATTTCACTTACCATAATGTCCTCCAGTTGCATCTATGTTGCTGTGAATGACAGGATTTCACTCTTTTTTATGGCTGAATAGTATTATATGGTGTATATATACCACATTTTCTCTATCCATTTATCTTCTGTTGGACACCTAGGTTGATTCCATATCCTGGCTATTTTGAATGGTGCTGCAATAAACAGGAGGGTCCTGATGTCTCTTTGATATACTGATTTCCTTTCCTTTGGATACACTCCCAGTAGTGGGACTGCTGGATCATATGGTAGTTCTATTTGTAGTTTTTTGAGGAACCTCCGTACTGGCTGTATTAGTTCACATTCCCATCAACAGTGTACACGAGTTCCCTGCTCCCCGCATCCTCGCCAGCATTTGTTATTTTTCATCTTTTTGATAACAGCCATCCTAACTGGGGTGAGATGATAACTTAATATGTCTGCATTTCCCTTATAAATAGCAATGCTGAACATTTTTCATATATTTTTTTGGCCATTTGTATGTCTTCTTTTGAGAAATGTCTGTTCAGATCATTTGCCAATTTTTGAATCGAATTGGTCTTTCGCTATTGAGATACTGAATTACTTGTATATGCTGGATATTTATCTCCTGTTGGATGAGAAGTTTGCAGATATTTTACCCCATTCTGTAGGTTGTCTTTTCACTCTGTTGTTTCCTTTGCTGTGCAGAAGCTTTTTAGTTTGACACAATCTCATTTATCTACTTTTGCTTTTGTTGCCTGTGCTTTTGAGGTCTTATTCATAAAATCTTTTCTCAGACCAATGTCCTGAAGCATTTCCCTTGTGTTTTGCCCTAGTAGTCTTATCATTTCAGGCCTTACATTTAGATCTTTGATCACTTTGAGTTGATTTTTGGATGGAGGAAGAGGTAGGGATCTAGTTTCATTCTTCTGCATATGGACATCCAGTTTTTCCAGCACCACTTATTGAAGAGACTGTCCTTTCCCCAGTGAGTGTTTTTGGAACTTTGTCCAAA